CTCTTTGTGAAGCTCAACATTCCTTTTAATACTAACATGTTTGTTATAATTAGACCTGTTGAGGAAACTCACATCAAAAATAACGTTTGACAAACAAAAGAGAATTTCAAGGGGGATTTTTTCAGTTTTCAGACACTATCCAAATAAAAAACAGTCTATGCTCAGAGTAGTTAGCATGTCAGCAAGGTAAAAAGGCCAGTTCCTTGAAAAACAATAGTATGATATGATATAAGGACATCCAGCCCATGGCCACGGCAAGGTTGCACACCCTAGCCTGTGCCAGAAAAATCCTGCCAATGTCTAATTTAATAAATAAATAAAATGTGGTTTAAGTGTACTAGGAACACACTAAATTCATTCAGGTAGAGGGGTAAAAAGGTGTGCCTACTTAGTTATTACACCCAGACTCTGTTTTGATATCTCATACATTTTATTACTAAGTAATTTGGTATAATTTCTAAACTCAGCTTTTATTAAAAACAGAACAAAAGCCTGGCAGCACTGGTTGGAGCATTGGCACAGAAGGCACTAAAGGAAATTGCTGGCATGTGTCATTCAGCCCAGATATCCTGTTGCTTTGTCCATAGTAGTGCTGTTGTAGCTATTATAGGCATTGCACTAGTAGCAGAGAAGAGTGAAAGGCTGAGAGAATCCATGGCTTGTGGGAACACAGGAACGCCACCGTGGTGCAGCATGCCAGCATAGTATAAGATGACACTCCCCCATGCTGTGTAGTGGCAGGGGAGAGGGAAACATGCAGGGAACAATGGCATCAACACAGTGCAGGGGGTGGGGGCGCCCCCAGTAACACAGCCTACATGGCATGTAGTCCTGGGGGCAAAAAACCCATGTACCATTTGGCCAGGGGGCCTATAAAAATATCGTTCCATGGGCTGTGGTGGAGTTATCCCAGTTTATAACAGAAGATTGGACCACAAAAAAAATAAAAGATGACAGCTGTAATCATAAAACATGCACAATCTAGGTGGCAATGTTGCTGGCCGTGGAAGATGTATGGAGAATTTTCTTAAATCCACCTAAATTATGCAAGATGGAAGACTTCCTATTTGTATTTTGTGCTACTCCTACACATCAAAACATGACAGCGTATTCTGATGATGGCTAGCCCAACAATCCCATATAACAGAATTCATCTTCAACTTTTCTTTTACAAACAACTACAAAGTTAAGCTTTCAAAAAACCTTTAATGAGAATGCTACAATTGCATAGTTAAGGAATAAGAAGTCAGGAAGTCAATATTAAAGGTTACTCATACAACCTTGAGGTTTTTCATTGTATTTATTTATTTTACAGTCTTCAGTTTCATAATCAAACTTCTTAAATAACACAGTAGATGCCATACCTTTTGTACAACTTCTTGTTATGTACCACTATCCGCACTACTGTATAATGCCATATACCCAACGGCTATAGAAGTAATTTATGTGAAAATTACTCTGGTCTTATTCCTACTCAAAATGCTCCAGATTAACAGTCCAAATCCTGCAAACATCTACACACTTGAAATTAGATACTAAAGACAGCAGAACTTTTAAATAAGTCCAGTCACATACATAGGTATTTGCCACTTTGGGGACATGAGAAATAGTAGAAAAAAATATAGCTGGCATGCGTAGGCCAACTAAGACTGCTCTGAAAGCCCTAATCCTACAATTAGTTTTGCCCACACAGTTCCATAATGACTTCCATGCTTTCATAGGCACTTCCAAGAGAAGTCTATATTAGCTACTCAGTTGGCTGCTTCATTCTTAGAACTATGAATAAAAAGAGCCACACACGTGTGCAGGCAAGCATTCTTCCTAGTTAACAGGCTACTTTTAACTTAGCACCCAAGAAAATGGCTCCCGCCAACTGGGGAAAAAAATGAAATAGTATGTGGCCACTGACTAATTATTAAAATACATACCTTAAATAGAAGACAGTCACACTTCACTGTGTGACCCTGGGCAAGTCACTTTATCTCTCTGAGCCTCAGTTTTCCCATCTGTAAAATGGGGATAATAATGCTTAGCACTTTGATATCTATGGATGTGAGCACTATTTAAGTGCTAAGTATTATTGGTATGAATATAGAAAGCCTAAAGCAATTATTTAATATAGTTTTATCAGAGTGTATCTGCATTATGTAACTAAAGTTGTTGGGGAAATTCATACTTTTAGAAATTCTATTTGATCATGTAAAATGAAGACTGTATCATGAAGACTACATATAAGAAACAGTTCTGTGAGTAACTCCAATATTGATTCTTCCAGACTTCTGAAGGTTTAGCCATGTAGTAGCCATGCCAGTTTGGCTATGTTCCCAATATTCTACCTTCAAATCAATTTTTAAAAGGAATGAAAGCTAATACTTCACTACGCAGTTTTATTAATACAAAAGACAAGGCATGAAAACATTCACAGAGAGTACACCCCAAAGATGATCTATAGCAAAAAAGTGTGATTAGAATAAGAGCGTGTTCAAAATAAGAGTGAACAGATGGAAAATAAACATTTCAGTAAGACAAAATTAGGTATCAAAGATTTTGCACCCATAAAAAGAAAGGTTATACATTCTGAAAGCAGGGTGGTTTTTGTTTTTGGGGGGTTGGGGATTTGTTTGATTGGTTGCGGGGGGGGGAGGGGTGGCTTTTGGGGGAGGGAGGGGTAGCTAAAATGTTTTAATTCAGGAAGCCAGAAGGCTCCAGTTACTCTTAAGAGGAAAATGCAGCAGGGTGAGCTGGCTCAAGGAAAGCTAGCAGCTAAAGAGCTAGCTACTTGCTCGCTGAGGTCTAGTCAAAAGCCAGCAGTAGTAGACACAAGGGACAGACAACCAGGCTACTCAGGGCTAAGAGCTGCAACCAGCAGCTAAGCAGGGTCAGGATGAACACACCTGTGATGGCTGCTGGGTCACGTGACTAGAAGTGGGCAGGGCTTAGTGTGTATATATGCTCAGGGCCTGAGCCTACACAGCTATTCTAGCCCTGGAGGCTGCAATGGAAGGAGCTCCAAAGCAGGAGGGCCCAGGAAAGCTTCTAGCTGGCACTGGTGCCACTTTGCAGGGGAATGTGACAGAGAATAACATGTGACTATTTACATTTAGACCCAGAGTGGGTTAGTTCATGTTATAACCAAAGAGACTTATGCCTTTGTCATAATTTATACTGGTGGTTTGGGTTTGGGACTAGCAGAGGTGGTATGGAGGTCCCAATAGTGTCCTGAGCCCACCTAGGGCTGAGGGGCCCCTGGACATGGTGTGGGCTTGAGCCTTATAGGGTGGCAGCCCAGGGAAGGGCTGCAGCTGAGCACAACTCCAGCCAGATATGGCCAGGGGCCCAGAGAGAGTCGAAGCAGGCTTAGAGCCAAGAGAAGGGCTGAGACAAGGCCAGGGAGCCCAGAATAAATGTAATCAAGGTAAGAGCTGGTGCCTAGAAGTGAGGTCCAGTACAGCGAGCCCAGGCTAGAAGGCCCAGCTAAAGAAAAGGGTGGAGGCTGAGAAGGCTGAGGCTCTGACAAGGGATGCTGGGGGTCTCTGATTTAACTTAAACCAGCAAGGGTTCTGGGACAGACATTGCATAAACTGGTTTGAGCCAAATCAGTTAAGTCTAATACTACATTCAACCAGGTTTACCTCAAACTGATTCTGCTCATTTTCAAACTGGTTTATGTGCACTGAATGTCTGTTCCGTTACAGGTTTAAACCAGTTTCTGATCACTTAAACCGGTTTATGTGTAATGTCTGTCCCAAATGCCAGATCCACAAAGAAATTTTATCTAGACTGTCAAGCATAACAAAAAAAGATATCAACACAGAGGTAGCAGTTGTTAGATATTCCTTTACTATGAGCCATCTCATGGTAGAATATCTCACAACCACTGTCTCCAGCTCACCTCAGGACCAAGCTGAGATAATTTAGTTCACTGTTATGAAATGTTGCTAACCTCCATTCTAATTCATCAGAATTGAATCTAAAATTAATGAATCTGGGGAGAAAAGTTGCAAAAGGGGGAGGTATGAAATTGTTTTTAACAGAAAACTAAAACACTTCCTGTTAGAAATTTTACCTGCATTATTGGAGCTGCAACTTTAATTCTTGTTCCCTCATAGCCCTTCTTCATCTTAAAGGCCCTGTATTACACATAGCATTTTTGCTGATAAGAAGTCTCAAACAGCAATCGTTAGCACTTTTTGCTGGAACTCCTTTCTCATACTCATGTTAAACCTGCAGCAGGAGCAGGAATAAACACAGTGCCTTTTTTGGTTCATTTTGTTTGGGAGGGAGGGGCTGTAATACAAGGGCCAGCAGCACTGCCCTCCCAGTCCCCAAAAGCCCATGCAGCAAGATGCTAAGGTCAAGTACTTTAAAATTTAACCCCAAAATAAGGCACCTAAATAAGTAAATGGACTGTTAACATTTTTTTTGTCACACACCCAAGCTAAATATGGGCCTAGTAAGCATACATCAATGGCTACTTTTGGAAAAAAAAAGGGCACAAGCCTGAAAAACTGAACTGGGGGCCTAACTCATAACAATGCACAGCTCTTGCATCAGGCCAGCCCCCACACATGAATTTTCAAAACTTGTACAGAGGACATATGCCCCAAAAGCTACTTTACCTGAATGAAGAAAACCACCTCCCAATACAGGTTTGCAAAGGAAGAAGAATAATCAGAACAGCCATTCCTGCAAGGCACGATGGCCCTATTTCAATCCAGCGAAGCGCGGTTCATGCTATGGCTTGAAGTGGGTCCCCCCCTAACGGTTACTGCTATGGCTTGAAGTGGTCCCGCCCATAAAAAGTGTAAGAAAATTGTTACCTGAACAAATGGTTAAGACACAAAAATTGGCTTTAGTATTAATTTGCACATGCACAACACACCCAGCAGCAGAAATTAAATGTCATTTTGTATTTCTAAAATGGAAACATTTATTCATTTTCCTGCTTCAACTCAAGGGAATGTGAAGTTGAGGTGGCAACTTTGTTGCTGGCAGACCTGGAAAGGGAGCCAAGAAGCAGCAGATTATGGCTTCTAGTCAACACAAGAAGAAATGGATACTCACAGTACAGTTACTGGGAGAAAATTAAAAGGTGTATTTTAAAATCAGGATCATCAGCTTGCTATAGCACAGGAAATTGCATCAGGAACCTTAAATCATCTCTTCATTCTGACTTGCAAAACTGCATTACAGGATCTGTCATTTTCTCAGCTCATTTACAAAGCTTACAACTGAGTAGTATTTCTATGTGCAACTCTGCCTTTCTCTAGTCTATCTGGAGACCACAATCCTGCTGACTCACTTTTCAAAATGTCAGGAAACAGCAAACATGTCATGTGAACTTTATATTCCCTTGGGCTGAAGATTCAAAAATTTAAAAATTTACCACAAACAACAAAGGGGAAAAGAAAAAGACTGAGGATGTTACACTTGTTAAAACAGAAACAATTTTTAAAAATCTGAAAGTTTATTTTTCTCTTTTCGATCCAACTTTTCATTCATCCTTTCCTTCATAAATACAAACAATGAAAATGTCAGAAAACTGATGTAAATTTATGCAAATAATGTTTTTATTGGGAAAAATCTCAGTTCTTCACAATTCAGTTCTGGAATATAATTAAAGAAAAATAAATTACAATTATTGAGAAGGAAAAACCCGTTCTGACCTGTATCAAAAAATATTTCTTCTGAATGAAAAAAGGAAAAAAAAACATCAAAAGAAGGAAAAGGGGAACAAGAGAGAAAAAAAGAATATAAGGAGTTACTGGAGGAAGACTCTCAAAGCAGTTCTGAAGAGTAATCCCTCAGCAGTTTGTCAGTCTATTTTGTTTTCAAGTATCCATGTAGTTTTCTTTTTCTCTCTCATTCATATTCTAAGTAGAGCCAGCAAAAAGTAAGACTACCATTTTCCAGCACTTCTCTATGAGCCCTTGCCTTCAGCCACTATAAAACTTTGCTAATCAAAGCTCTCTATGCCAATTGACTACCTTAGGTTTTTATTTTTTTTAAATTCATCATGATAATTCATTATCAAGAACAAAGACAGACAAAATCATGTATTATTGCCTATGTGAAATTCTAGTGATCTAGCCAATTCTACGTTTTCCCAAAATTAAGCCAAGTAAGAACATTCTGAAAAATGGCAGTCTTCACACTCAGCAGAGCTTAGCAGCTTAAAAAAAATCTCCCAAGGCTCTGTCTGCATTGAGTGCACTCAACCTCTCTGATTGCCTACATGCCCCAATACAGAACCATGAGGTCCAGAAGGGCATTCCTTGTAACGGCTGCCTTACACCAAGGCAGGACACCAGAAATGAGATCTGGGAACTATTCTCTCATCTTTGCTCAGAATGACTTTTCTGCTGTGTGTAAACAGCAGCCATCTGATTCAAATTCAGAAATGAAAGAGGCAAGAGAAAGGAAGAAGGAAAAGGAGAAATTGTAATACGGAGTCTCAGGAGACTGTGACTATGAACCAAAAATCATGGGAAGTAAGAAAAGACAAGAAAGACTGCTTAGAAAAAGGAGACTGGGACTAGAAGTCAGTGAAGAAAATCAGGGAGGAGTGAGAGCAAGTTGGCTCAGGGTCAGGACCGCTGCTACTTTTCTTCCTCAGCGCTAACTACCTTGTTCACTTCACAAGATGGACCTGCTCTGAGGATGAATCAGGATTACGTAGCACAGGAAGCTGTCTTCTACAGAACTCATCCCTTTTGTGCTGCAAAACTTGGAAAGTGAGTAACACAGGACCACAGGAAAAAAAAGGGGTTTAGACAGTTGGAGCTACCTTGAAGAACTGAACCATGGGGTCTGCCTTGCAGAAATGTTGAGCTCTCATAGCTGCAGTTAAAGGTCAAAGTCCATCTCCCATTGACACATTATATCTACTTTAAGTACTCTGGAAAAAAATTAGCTGCTTTGTATTTAAATTTGGGCACCCCACTGCATGCTAATGAACATCACCTCTGCATCTCAGTTCCACAGCTGTAAATTGGTGACAATACTATCTCACCATTGCAGGATATCGTGAATATTGCTTCACAAACATGAACATATCTCTTACATATTTTAGTGATGAACATCTTAAAAAGGGCATAAATAGCAGTAATAATTCTGTATTTAGAGCAGAGTTTGAATGCTTTGCAATAAACAAACTGAGCCAAACACTGAACAATGAGGATAAAACCAAGTATTGAACAGCTACTCATTCAGTAAATACCACCTTTCCTGTGGCAAGGATTTTTTGTGATATCTTTTATAGGGCCAACTGTACAGTTGAGAGGACTGCAGGAAAGCTTGCCCAACAGCTTTCCCAACTTTATGATTGGTCCAATAAAAGAGATCACAAAAAAGCCTTGTCTCTTGTATGATTCCTGGACTATCACAGGTACAACACCACTCTCTAACCCTATCTTTCCTGAGCACAAAATAAGGCAGGGAGCCTGTGGAAAAATATAGTCTCTCAAATGCATATGAATTTCTAGAATGCCCTAATTGCTGAATGCCCATGTTGGTGATCATTTGTATGTAACAATATTTAGGTTAAATGCTTCTTTAGCATAATAAAACTGCTTAGGAAGCTATCAATTAGTTCAATAACATGATGCTGTTTTATCAAGTTAGCCTAGCGTATAATTGTTTTAAGCAGGAGTGTCAAACACATCTGTGCCCGTAGGCTGCATCCAGACCATGGAGCTCTCCACAGGCTTGACCCAGACTGCAAAGAGCCTCCCAGGCCAGATGCAGGCAGTTGGGAGAGCACTGGCAACACAGAATTAATGCAGCTGTTGCTTGCAACCTACCCCCACCCCTGCGACTCATGCCCATTCCATCTTTGGCACACAAGGTTTTTCTGGGTAAATCAGGTATCTTTTATTAGACCAAATCAAATAGTTGGAAAAATTCTAAAGTAAAAGTGAAACACCAAGTTGTTTTTACAATATGTACATTAATACATTTGTAAGCAGAGCTGCCATGCCTCCCCACTCCCCTTGGAAAAAAGAAATCATCTTCTCCCCACCCCTAATTTTATGATGTTTGGTAAACCAGCAAAAGAAATTTGTGGCCACTGACTGTGACCTCATATTCCAAGCCCATTAAAATCTGCACTTTGAATCCATTTAAGATGATCAATAATGATTCTTACTTGGTCAAATTTGTTCACATCATTTGACAGAAGATTTACTATTTGGCCAGTGGTAGTTTTTGCCATAGCTGAGTTACTGAGACGAAGTGCCTAAAAAAGAGAAGGAAAAAAACCCAAAACCTCAGGCTTTCATAAATTGTGTTGTACTGATATAATTTTTTCATGCTTTAGAGGATTCTATCCACAAATCTAGCACTGAAAAAAGGATTATGAACACCCCACCCCCCCAAGCCCTGGGATGGTCCCCACTCTGCCACCAATCATCTGATTGGGGCCATCAGAGATTTTAATGGCATGCAATAGAACCCCTGTGCAGTCAATCTAACCATACATTCATTTTAAGGCACAAATGAAAACAGCTAAAAAAAGTATTACCCATTTTGTGGCTGGTTTTACTTTTTGTAATGCCTTTAGTTGCCTGAACTGTGGTCAGGTTACACTTTAAGAGGTGACAAGATTAACCAGTTAATCATATCTTAAGTGTAACGTCTGCCAGAGGTGTCAGCAAATTAAATATGGCTAGCACATTAATGACAGACATTCAGCACTCACCAAAAATTATCATTTCAAAAGGTACATACATTTACTACAGACATTAATGAACATGACAAAAGTACTGGTAAATTAGCATTCAGCTTCTCTCAAAAGCATATATAAAGGATAAATAGAAGGTCTGATCTATCTGTACACCTTAAATAATGAAGACAACTGATTAGTAAGGTTTATCAATGTTCTGCCATGACCTCAGCCTTCACCCTGAGGAGTAAACATTTATGAGATGAGAGGAGATTAATTTTCCATTTAATCGCATCTCTTGAAATAAGGGTGCACACTATGAACACTTTGCCTTTCCAAGCTTTCAGCCCTGTAAGCTAATTTCAACAGTGCAACAAACAGTACTTGCTATATAAATATTTCATGAAATTCAAACTGTTATGATAATCAGTATAGTAAATTAATACCTCAGAGATATGTTTATGTACAAGAAAGCAGTGTGCCATGTTAGACCTGAGTTCCCAGAGGATAATTTCCAAGGTATCATAAGAGGGAGGAGAATAAATATGTGCAAGAAAAACAATCCAACAGTTCAAGATGGCCTTGTACACTATTCCCTAGCATATTCCCTTTCTGTACTATACCGCTGTCCCCACAAACTCCCCACACATCCTTATTTGTGTATATGGTAAATACTCTAACTTTTTTCCTTGAAGTAGGAACAGTACCCATTTTATAATTCTTAAATGAAAAAAAAATAAAAGGTTAGTTTATGTTCAAGTTGAAATACATAATCCTTGCCAAATTCCTTTACTAATCAAATGCTGGACAGGCACCACTCCAATAATTTGAGAGGATGAAAATTAAATTGGCTCTCTCCAGAGCCCCTAACTAGATGGACAGATCATTCTCCCCTCTGATACCTCCCCATAGGATTTCTGCTTGGGAAGCAGAAGTGAAAAGAGACCTGAAGACTTGGGTGTGCCCTCAAATAACAGATAAAGGGAGAGAAGGGGAGGCTGCTGCTTCAAGAGCCAGACAGGGTAGGCACAAGCAGCTTCCTCCATCTGCTGCCCTACAGTAATAACACCTGTTCTTTCTGCTCCACTGGTTATTACCTAACAATGCTGGTTTCTTTTTCAGATGCAGGTTGCTTCATGTTGGATCAAGACAAACAAGTGAAGGCAGACAAACACAAGGACAACATTTAAGCAGCAGGCCCATGCCTTAACAATAGGGTAGGCATAGGGTTCTCTTCTCCTTCTCAGATACTAAGCATTTAAATTGGGACCAGTGAAGCATGTCAGTACTCCCATCATACAACTGACAACATTTTCCAGGGACTCTGTCCTCTTCTGAAATGTCTCATCCTCCCACAATCAGGAGGGCAGAGAGTACCCAAGGGGAACATCAGTATGCTAGTGAAAGGTCCACCAGCCATATCCCATATCTTGTAACTCTGGGAGCTGGTCTTTCTCTACAAGTGGTCTCAGATACCTCTGCAGTCCTCTTAAAATGAAATTGCTCATTCTTGCACCTTTTAACAAAAGCTATGCCTCCAGTGCTGAAAAGAAGGAAAAACAGCTTATGAACTACTGATCCACAAATTGGTCTAAAAGGAAAAAAATAAATAAATCTCCATAAATCGTCCAGATTTGAGAGGCAGGCATTGATCAGACCAACCCTGTTCTGAAAAGAGCACAGCTACATCAAGGGCAGGGGGCAGGCCTATGGCAAAGCAGCCCCTAAAGGCCCAGAAAGGCTTTAAATTGAGACAAGGTTGAGAGTGCCCAACAGTTCCCCTACTGCCCTTCCCTTCTGGATACTGGGAGGCAGACAAGCCCCTTCCCATGAACACCCCCAATATGCAATTTGAGGCATCAGGAACAGCTAGGCTCCAGTATATACAGTCATGAGCTTTATTTCTCCCATTCCAGAGCTTGATGCTCTGTCCCAGTATACCTCTGGATCACAACAGCATGGTCAGACAACAATCAGCAGATTCTCCCCAGTCTTTTAGGTTTCTTTCCTACCACAAGCAGTAGCCCCAAGCAGATTCCATGTTCAGCATGGTATGAAGGACACTTAGTTGTATGGTAACCCTAATTTATATTAATATGCATTATATTCTGTCAAATAATAAATAAGGAATAAAGGATAATAACTAATGAATGCAAATATTTATTATGACCAGCTACTAGAATAAAATAGCCAACATACTACATACATTTTAAAACATAAAAGGTTGCTTACCTTCTGATAAATCATATGGCACATAGCTACTCTCAACTTCATGCCAGCCCGTTGCACATGATAAAAGTACAAGTGGTGCATTATAGCTAGAATGAGTGTACACACAGACAAAGCAGCTGTATAGCCATAGGCAAAATTCAAAGCAACAGTGTCAAGGGGATCAAAATTTTCAAAATAATTAATAATTTTTCCCAAAAATATTGGCTGTATTATCTTGAGGGTTTCCTGAAAGAAAGAAAAAAAGGAGGGAAAGAGAGAGAGAGATTTTATATTGTAGTGTTCTGTTCAAGTGTGTATCAAGCCAAAGAATTGAACTACTGGCACTGTAGCTCACCTTGTTAATTTCTTTTACAGCATTACAAGATGATGCTGATGATACCAAAATCTGGGGTGAAATGGGCACGTTAGCAGGGAGGGAAAGACTGCAGAAAGACCTGCATAGGTTGCAGGGGTGGGCTAACAAAAACAGGATGCGTTTCAATACTGACAAGTGCAGGGTGCTGCACTTGGGCAGTAGTAACCAGCAGCACACTTATAAGATGGGAAACTCCCTTCCTGAGAGCACGGAAGCAGAAAGGGATCTTGGAGTCATCACTGACTCCAAGATGAACATGGGCCGACAATGTGAGGTCATGGTCGGCAGAGCTAACCAGACCTTATTGTGCATCCACAGATGCAGCTCAAGTAGGGCCAAGGAGGTGATCCTCCCCCTCTACGCGACACTGGTCAGGCCGCAGCTGGAGTACTGTGTCCAGTTCTGGGCACCCCACTTCAAGAAGGATGTGGACAACATTGAGAGGGTTCAGAGGAGGGCTACCCACATGATCCGGGGACAGCAGGGCAGACCCTACAATGAGAGCCTACGGGACCTGAACCTGTTCAGCCTTCACAAGAGAAGGCTGAGGGGGGACCTTGTGACCATCTATAAACTCACTAGGGGGGACCAGAAGGGTTTGGGAGAGACCTTGTTTCCCCTAGCGCCCCCCGGGATAACAAGGAATAACGGCCGCAAGTTGTTGGAGAGTAGGTTTAGATTAGACATCCATAAGAACTACTTCACAGTTAGGGTGGCTAGGATCTGGAACCAACTTCCAAGGGAAGTGGTGCTGGCTCCTACCCTGGGGGTCTTTAAGAAGCGGCTTGATGCCTACCTGGCTGGGGTCATTTGAGCCCAGTTTTCTTCCTGCCCAGGCAGGGGGGCGGACTTTAAGATCTACAAGGTCCCTTCCGACCCTACTTCTATGATTCTATAATTCTATGATAAGAAACCAGATGACTGTTTGTTTACTGATGTACTCCAGAAGAGGTACCTTTGATATTAAAAATAAGCCAACACAAACTTTTGAAAAATACTCTAAGCCATCAAATATGGGGTTTTTTAAATCACATCAGAGGTGCTGTTTTGTAACAGGTAAAAATCAAGTAGGGAAAAAGCAGGTCCCAGAACAAAGTTGCCAGTGCTCACCAAACACCAGTTGGACCAGACTACATTTCACATTGCTATAAGGGAAAAAGTTATATTTTACTGTATTTTCATCCTTTACCTCAATTAACGTGAAGAGCCCAAAGACTAGATAGGATTTCCAATAACACAGTATAATTGCTTTGGTTAAATGTGGTGTTCTTGCTGCTTTTTTTGCTTTTTGGACCTCCTTTTCCCAGTACCTAGAATACAAAGTAAAATGAAACTGAAGGATAGAAAAGTATGACTTAAAAAAAAAGTAAGAAAAACAGAAGATAATTTGCTAAAGGAGTGAAACAGAGTTAGACATGCTGTAGAATTTCAATGTTCTCTGACCACTGTACACCAGAGTTCACCAAGATCCATCCTGAGAGACAGATCTGGCCACAGAGCCATGTCACGCAGCTCACAGGGTTCCCCACAGGTCTGGAAATTTGGCACTGAGGGAAGAAGTGGCAGCGTTAATTGCCACAACTCCCAGGCCCATGTCAATTAACACTGCCACCATTCATCCTACTGCCACATTTCCAGACCTGTGGGGAGTCCTATAGGCCAGATAACGTGACCCAACAGATCAAACTGTGTCTGTGGACCAACCCCATGCACCAGATCAGGCCTGGAGACAAACCCCGTGCCATTCATCTGGCCAGCACATGAGTGTTGAGAACCACTGCTCTAACTTCACATAGACTGTTTTTAAAATAAACATTATAGGAAAACCAGATTTTTGTTTCTGACTCATGAAAGGCTTGCATTTAATATTATAGAGTTATTTGTTCCTCTGTGTCAAGAGCAAGCCACTTATATCACAAAAACTTGGATTGGCTGCTAACTTAATACATATATACTACAAAAGGCAGAACTCCTAAGGCATCATTTGTCTGTTCTTGACCCAGTTCAGACTGAGCCAGCTATGTTAGTTAAGGCAAGCTAAGTTATATTCTTTCCTGGTTCTAGCCTGTATCAAGGCAGGGTGGCAGCAGTACATGGAAAGTAAGCACATTCCAGTCTACCACAGTGTTCGCTTACCTGCCTCTGGTCTCTGGTTCTCTTACCTTCATTAGGTGGAAAGGAAGCACAACCATGGTAATGGGGTAGATTGTATCATTCTAGCAATGAAAGCAGCACTCCACAGGCTGCCAAAGGCAGGGACTGGAATTTTCCCTGACCTATCCAGAGTGGTAGATCCTCCTGTGCTGCTGTGCAATAGTTCACAAGCAGACACTTTCTTTTCACATTCAAACAAAAGATCAGGGAAAAAGCAGTGGGGGAGGGGGAAGAAGGGTGGTTTGGTCCACTTTCTACAACACACCACAAAACAGTTCTTAAAATCATAGGATTTTTAAGGTGTTCCACTTGGTTTCTAGGGACTAAATTTCAGTAAACTCTGAGGTCTGAGATTAGGTCAAGGGGTCAAATCCAGATCTAACAATGGATTTGTGTTGCACACAAACACCAAGCAGATAGAAAACATTATTCTAGTGACCACTTTATTATTAAGGAACTCCATTTTTACTCCAGTCTTCACAATCTTTTCTATAGATAAAAGAGTTTACAAATGTGGTCAGCTGAAAGCGTCAGGTTTGAAGCCACAACTGGCTAGGTTTTGTGATGCTTCTGTAAACCATAGTCTATCAGTGAGAAGGCTGTTTACTTCAGTAACAGTGTATGAATGACTGTCTGTGTGTGCTGAACAAGACTGAAAAAAAAAACATATACACATACACAGGCAACTTTTCTAGTTTGTGTTTCACCTAAACACATAGCAAAAGAACAGAAGTATAAAAAAAAGCAACTTCTTTCCATGGGCAGCACCAGTGCACAGAGCAGCGTCAGCAGCGTAGCCAACCTCCAGCTGCAGCAGTGGGTATATTTGGACCCCACTCCTTCCTCTGCCAAAAGGTGGCACCTGTGGCTGCTGCCTCAGTCCCTCCCCTACAGTTACTCCCCTGCAAAAGAGAGCAGTTATTAAAAGAGCAATCAGAAAGAGTTTGTCCTCCTCCATAATGAAAGGCCTGAATCGCTTTAAGGCACATCAGTGGATATTCACTTTGATCATAATGAATACATTCATTATACTCATAAAGTTACATTCTGCTATGCTAATAGTCTTGGAATTTGGCAATAATCTCCTGCTGGAAAGATGTTAAATGCTGAATTCCAAAAGGATTATTGCCTTCTCTTCTTCTTCAGCTGTGGCTAACAGCCAGAAAAAGGTAGTTAGCTGTGTTAGTCTGAAGTCAGTCAGAAAGCAGGCTAGATATGCACCTTTACAGACCAACTAAACAAGATCTGTATATAAAGCACAGGATTTTGTGAACCCAACTGGCCTTAGGTTCATGAAAGTCTGTGCTCAATATAAAGATCTTATTTAGTTAATTTATAAAGGTGCATATCTACCCTGACTCAGTCAGAACAAGACAGTGAAAGATCCTTCCACTCCTTTCTCCTCCACAGAGAAGCCCCTGCTCCCAATCCTGTAGCGAAGATCAGACCTTTCATAACCCCCTCATATAAAGTGCAAGAGGTTAAGTGACTACGCTGACATTCTTATGGCACAAAATAGAACTTTTCTAGCAGCCTACTCCAATTTGATTGAAAAAACTGCCTGTATCAGATTAGTTTTTGATAAAAACCTATTAGAAATTTTCAAGGCACATTTTTTAATCGACAGATCTTCTTCAGGAGACCCAAGAGAGCAAAAAAACAAACAAACAAACACACCTTGCCAAATTGATTCTCATTAAAAGCTGTATTGCTATAGTAAAGCCCAACTCTTAGGCCCGAGATTGCAAAAAATACCAGGAAGAATGCAACTTTTGAACAGACACAAAAATAATATTTGTATTGCTGTACTATACCAGTGCAAAAATTCCTGGTAAAGACAAGCCTTTAAGGCTAAGTACAGACAGCCACAAAGCTTGAGGCTGAATCAATTCAGTCTTCACAGGTTGGTCTAAGCTACATAGATTGAACTGATAAGCAAGTGAACAGATATTCACTTGCCTTCAATGGCCCAGGTCAAATGCCAGGATGCACTAGAGCACTCCTCCCTGCTCCATTAGAACAGACAGCTTGGGCCAAAGCTAGCCTGCCCACCCACCCTGCAAGACGTGGAGGGGGTGGGGGGGCACTGGGGGAGAGGTACACAGCATCCTGGGATGCTGGGGGACTGAGTTAAACTTGAATCTGGAGGGGATCTGGGACAGAAGTTCAATAAACTGATTTAACCTAAATCACTTAAGTCTAATACTACATCCATCCAGATTCATTTTATACTGGTTTCAGCCATTTTGCAAGCAGTTTACATATACTGAACTTCTGTTGTATTACAGATTTGAACCAGTTTCTTATCACTACAGATAAAACCAGTCTATCTGTAATTTCTGTTCCTAGCCTATATGTTTAGCCCATCTAACCTCTCCACCAGTGCCCCACCCTATTAAGGTTATAGAGCTGCCAATGCTAATTCAGGGGTAGTGGGATTGAGCAGAAAAGGCAAAGCATAAAGACATGTCCACATCTTTACACCAAGACAGTAGATAAGTAATATTATATAGCTTTACTACAGCATAGGAAATCCTTTGCTCTATTAAGGAATGACAGAGGAGAAAATGTCTTCAATTCTAAGAATTTCACATGGTGCCATTCAAATGAAGTGTAGTTGATATAAATACGAGTCCTTTCATAGGTTCTCATTAACAAAAAGTTGATGCTTGCATAGAAAATAAGTGCTTCAAGGACAAAGAAAACAAAACAGAGCCATCACTAGCAAGATAGCTGAGAAGGCCTTCCAGATTGATTGGTAGACTATTTTCATGCCAAAACCTTAATGCAGCATCGCTCTTCACAGATGAAGATGCAGTTTACCAGAATATTGATTTTTTTTCCTTACCATTGCAACTCCTCTCCAAGCCTTTCTGACGAATCTTCAGGCAGCACTTTGTACATATCATCTTCTTCAAGCTTCCGTTTATGACCAGCAATAAATAAAGGATTCAGCCACCTGTTCAAATATAGACTATTATATTCAAATAGAGACTATTACATTCAAATCAACAGAACAGGAAATAAGTTTACTCAAATATTTGGTAGATCACTACATTATAATGTTCTCTCATCGATGGCGAGGGGGTGGGGGGGAAACAACCCCTCACAGTCTTTAATCTATTTACCGTCCCAGAACATCAGAGGTACAAAGTTACCCAGATTTACAGATGGAGACACAAAGAGATTAAGGGCACTTATTAGTGAGCTAGAATGTCCAAACACTCTGCCATTTAACGCAATCCTGACAGAAATGCACAGGCTTCCATACAACGCACGGGCTCCTCAAAAAACAGCCAAGTTAGGAGCTGTCCAAACCACCCATTGCTGTAAAAAGGGGCCGAAACAGGATTTCAACCAGCATCTCCTGCATACCAAGGGAGTGCCCTAGACTATTACTAATTCCAGAGCAGATGCTTCATTCTTTACTAAGGAGGATGTTTCACTCTGTATAACTAGTTATTTACTAGGCTAGCTTCAGCTCTAACTTCAGCTAAGCCACTTACCTGAGAGGTGGGATCAACACCTTGGACCCAGATCTAGACATATAAAAAAACAAACAAACAGCATCTCCATGAGGAGAAACCAAGAAAAACACTTCCCAGAATAACCACCACCCTGGCTATCAAGTCACTTATCTGGAATGTGTGAGTCTAAAGTTCAATTTTCTGGGCTGAACTGGGTAAAAAACGAATGCAACCCAGATCTGCCACAACCTAAATGAGCACTGTAACAACCAAACTATCTGCTATATAAAAAGACTGCATGACCTAGGGATGCTCCAGACACATCTAGTACCTTGCTGATATGGCATTCAAGGGAGCACTTACTTCAAACCCTGCTTTGGAGCCTCCAGGGCTTCAGTTTTCTTTGGCAGGGGGAGGCATCACCTTTTACACGGCTTTGCACATGTTCACTAGCTAAAACTCTGAAACCTAGATCAGAAGTGGCAGGCCAGAATGGTCCAGCTCAGATTCAAGGAAAGCTGGTGCTAGGGCCCAGTAACGGTCAATATCACCTCTTCTCCCTGCTGCCTAGCTGGGGCACAACGCAGGAAAGTGAAGAACCCTCTGTCAAAAGCCACTGAAGTCCCAGCTCTGCAGGCCAGATATAATGGCTCCATGGAGCAAATATAGCCCATGGGCCATAGATTGCCAACCGCCGACCCACAGACCCAAATACTTGCAATGCTACCATCAAATAGTGCTTTCAGTTGTATCAAAATAGGGGTGTTGGGCACCTAAAGAGACAAATTGATATCTAAATACCTAAGAATCTGTCCAAAGGGGATGTCCACACAAACATGTTATTTGGGTGTGACCTTTCAGTGTTTAGCTACTCAGTGGGTGCATTGCTACAAGATGCTGACTGTGTAGTAGCTGAAAAATACTGTGTAGTAATGCATCACAGCATGGACAGTGCTTATATGCTACTGCACAGTATTATTAGGCTACTGCACACTAGTGTCACCTAAAAGATGTTCTCTGGTGCTATGGCACATTAACTGCAGTTACTGCACATTTATTTAGTACTTGCTAATACAAGTACTAAATAAATGCACTGTAATGACTGTGTATACTTGCCTAGTGGTGACTACCTACATGCATGCTCCCAGCCTACAATAACTGGAAGGACCTTGCCCCAAACTCCCCATAAAAGCAGACACAACAAATGCATGAGAGCACAGAATTAAGGTACAGCCATAAACCTAGCTTTACTGCATTTCCAGTGCTCAGTACTACAACCTAAATAACTCTTTAAAAAGTTAACAGGCTTCATAGATTTCATAGACATCAGGGCTGGAAGGGACCTCGGAAGATCATCGAGTCCAGCCCCCCGCCCAAACGGCAGGAAGTCAGCTGGGGTCATAGGATCCCAGCAAGATAAGCATCCAGTTTCATCTTGAAGGTGTTCAATGAAGGCGCTTGAACCACCTCTGGTGGCAGGCTGTTCCAGACCTTGGGGGCTCGGACAGTAAAGAAGTTCTTCCTTATGTCCAGCCTGAAACGATCTTGAAGTAGTTTGTGACCATTCGACCTCGTCATCCCTTGGGGCACTCTGGTGAACAAACGTTCCCCCAGATGCTGGTGGTCACCCCTGATAAACTTGTAGGTGGCCATCAGATCACCCCTGAGCCTGCGCTTTTTCAGGCTAAAGAGCCCCAGGGCTCTCAGCCTGTCATCGTAGGGTCTGCTTCCCTGACCTCTGATCATGCGCGTGGCTCTTCTCTGGACTCTCTCAAGCTTCTCCACATCCTTTTTGAATTGTGGAGCCCAAAACTGGACACAGTACTCCAGCTGCGGCCTCACTAAGGCCGAGTACAGGGGGAGAATGACGTCCCGGGATTTGCTTGAGAAGCATCTATGGATGCAAACCAGAGTTTTGGTCGCTTTACTAGCTGCCGCATCGCATTGCAGGCTCATGTTCATCTTGTGGTCAAAGATGACCCCCAAGTCTCTTTCTTCCATAGTGCTAGCCAACATAGCACTGCCGAGCCTATAAGGATGCTGCGGGTTTTTTTTCCCAAGGTGGAGAACCTTGCATTTATCGGCGTTGAACACCATCAGATTCTCGTCCGCCCACTTGCTGAGCCTGTCCAGGTCAGCCTGGATAACCTGCCTGTCTTCTGGTGTGGATGCTTTGCCCCAAAGTTTGGTGTCATCGGCGAACTTGGCCAGTCCGCTTCTGACTCCAGTGTGCACATCATTAATGAAGATGTTGAACAGTATGGGTCCAAGGACAGAGCCTTGGGGGACCCCACTGGTCACAGGACACCACGATGAGTGACTTCCATCGATTACTACCCTCTGGGTCCAACCCCGGAGCCAATTTTCCAGCCAGCGGATCGTGGAGGACCCAAGGCGACAATTGGCCAGTTTCTCCAAGAGGCGATCATGGGACACCAGATCGAAGGCTTTTTTGAAGTCAAGATATATGACATCAATCTCTTCTCCCTTGTCCAGGTGATAGGTCACCTGGTCGTAGAAGGAAATGAGATTGGTCAAGCAAGACCTACCCGCAACAAACCCGTGCTGGCTATCCCTTAAGATGTTGGCGTCGGCCAGTCCATTAAGGATGGCCTCTTTAATAAACTTTTCTAAGATCTTCCCCGGGATAGAAGTCAGGCTGATGGGCCTATAGTTAGCCGGATCCACTTTCCTCCCTTTCTTGAAGATAGGCACCACATTGGCCTTCTTCCAGTCTTCGGGCACTACACCAGAGCGCCAAGAGTTTTCAAAGATCCGTTTTCCAAAGACACTTCAAGTGTCCAGAAGTAAATTGGAGCACATGTGAAAGAGACATTACATTTTCTATATGTTTTAATTGGTTCATATGAGACCTCTGAAAACAGATTTTATTGTGCTACAAAATCAGGTCTGCAAAGGTTTCTCACATTCCCCTTGACACTTTATTTTTTAGATTTATGGATATGCAATCATGGGACTTACTTAAAAAAGACTATAGACAGTAGCATGACCTATATCAACACAGTAAGCACTTAAAAACAGAGTTTTCAAAGGACTGTTGCCTGATTTGAGATGAGCAAGCAAGTTAGTACCTCTGTTTTGTGACTAATTTTAGGAGCATTGTTTTGAAGCAAGAGTGTGATTTTGATCTACTGTTTCAGCTTGACCTAAGGAGTTGACCTAGTTTGTGTAGATATGAAAGCCAGCTAACTAACACTTTTAGTAGCAAAGAGCTTAAACTGATACTTGTGGCCAGGGATCCTGGTTTTCTCTAATAAAAAAAAAAACAAAACAATTTTCAGATTTAAAAAAGTAACCCCAATCTACACTTTTCTGTGATTTAAAATGAAACACCATTCTATATATTAGTGGTGTTTCATTTTAAATCACAGAAAAATGTGGACTGGGGTTGCTTTCTTAAATATGAAAATTGGGTTGTTGTTTTTTTAATCAGAGAAAATCAGGACCCCTGATTATGACATACCATAGTATTGTTTATAAAGGCCAACGATCGTAACTCCTTTCAACCTTTCTATTGAAACCATGCTCTTCTAGACTTCTAAATATAGGCTCCTCATGCTCTTGACTACCCTAGCAGTCCTAAACACTTGTTCTAGCTCATGTTTATCTTTCTTGAGCACAGATGACCAGAGTTACACCTAATATTCCATCTGAGGTCTCACCAACACTGTGGCAGTATCGTTATTATTTGTTTCTCTCTAATGGAAACAACAAATAAGATGACCCGTCATCTTATAAGATGACCCGTCAATCATATCTTTTTCATGCTATATAACAAGGATGTCAAAATCCTCTATCCTGTAGTGCCAGATAAGGGAGCCAATCTGCAGGCTGCATCGGACCTACAGAGTGACCTCATAAACCAAATCCAACACACAGGGACAGTCCGGTGCGGGCACTGCCTGTAGTACATGCCTTGGGCCAGCCCATGTGCTACCCACAATGCACCTGCAGGCTCCAGCCCCATGCACCACATACAGCATGCATTAGCCCCTTTCGGGGGGCATAAGCTAAGCAAGGCACTGGGCCAGTTCTCTCGCATGGCACACTCCAGGGAGCATGCTGTACATGGTACCCTTGCCAGACTGTCCCTGCATGCTGGATCTAGCACAGGTCCAATCTGGCCGGTCTGGAAGAGCG